AAGCCCTTATATGAAATGTTAAAGGCATGCAGTCCTTTTAATAAAAGTTGAGCTCCGGTGTGATACACAGATGCAGGGAGCATGTTCACGTGTGCATCTGTGTGTTGTTAATGTTTAGTGAGTACCTGCCCAGGACCCACGTAGACTGTGTCCCGGGACTAAAGATGGTGTCAGGTGGGATCTTAGTGTAGGAGAGAAACAGTTTCTGGATGTGCAAAGTGGGCGTTTGGGCAGGACAGCCACGTAGCAAGAGTGAGTATTGACATATTCTCCAGTATATTGACATGGAACACCAACGTCTCTCTGGTACCTCCTTGGAGCACCTCTCACCTTGGATGCTGCGACACCATGACCTACGGGGTCTCCTTTTCTGATCCCCTGTCCCCTGTCACACACTTAAATCTGAATGTGAGGCATGTTTCTGAACTTTGAACGTTTCTCTACCAGCACATGAAGTCAGCCAGTCAGCCAGGAAGTGGGCAGGGTGGAGGAGTAGACTCTTGAGGGGCCCCTCAGGAGAGTGAGCCAATGGGCAGCAGGAAGGAAACCAATTTCTGTCCCTGGTGCAGGCCATTCTCCAGTGTGACAGCGCAGAAGTGGCACAGCCTCCCCTAGGTGCCTGTCTGCAGCTCCCACGCCTTCTTCGCAGCATGGATGGAGCTCAAGGGCGTCATGCTGAGTGAACCAAGTCAATGACAGAGAAATACCGCATAAGCTCGTGTGGAAGATAAAGAGCCAAACTCATGGAACCGAGTAGAATGGTGGCTGCCAGGGACCGGGGAGTGTGGGAAATGGGGAGATGTTGGCCAAAAGGTACAGATCTCTAGTGTAAATGCTGGGGCATCAAATGCCATCTAGGTGACAATAATTAACCATGCTGTGTTCTAGCCTTGGAGGTGTTACGGATGTAGGTCTCCAATGTTGTCCCCACAGAATAAATGGTAATTATGTGAGGTGATGGGGTATTAACCTGTGGTAACCATTTGTAACATATACGTGTATCAGATCCCCACTTTTTTTTACACCTTAAATGTACGTGTTAGATGTCATTTTCTCTATAAAGCTGAAATGAAATATTTCTCAACAGGGAAAATATTTCTCTATAAAATAATAAGATACAGTTTCCAGGTTCCCCTTCAGAGAATCTGATTGACAATATGAACCGAGGGCAGGAGTCCTGAGGTTCTGCAAACATCCAGGTGATTCTGATGCACGGGGTTCCCAGGCCACCCTGAGAAAAGCTGCCACACGCAGCCTGGGGGGGGAAGGATGGGGGGCACAGGTGCCGGTGTGTGCGAGACTCCAGCAGGGGTAACCCCGGCTCTGCTGACCTGGCTTCTAATCCCGCCCAGACATTCTTCACGTCGCAGAGGATGAGGAGGAGAGGACCTTTCCAGAGGGTGAGTTCCAGATCTTGACAAGGTACTCACCTCGATTTTGGACCCAACTGAGCCCTGACCCCCAACTGAGGAGTAAATGGAAGCCTGTGTGTCTCCCCAGCCCCAAACCAAGGCTGCTGGACAGGCTCCGGAGGGCCTCAGAACCACCCCCACCGGAGGGCAGGAAGGAAGGTTGGGATATGTTGAAAACTAATGGGTGAGATGATTATCGACTGGGAATTAAATTCTTAATTTTGGTAAATAGAATAGTACATACAGTGATTATGCAGGAAATGTGCTTTAAAGGGATGTCTACTGGAGTGTTTGGGGGTAAAATGTCATGATATCTGTACTTTAAAATACTTCAATCAATGAAATATACACGAAAAAAAACTCAAAGTTCTAATAATTCCATTTAAAATGGGCAAAGGACTTGAATAGATATTTCTCCAAAAAAGATATTAAAATGGACAATAAACACAAAAAATTGCTCCACGTCCATTAGGGAAATGCAAATCCCAACCACAATAAGGTATCATTTCATACATTCCGATAGTTTGTACAAAAAAACAAGTCCAGAAAATAACACGTGTTGATGAGGATGTGGAGAAATTGGAGCCCTTTGCACTTGGCAGTGGTGGCAACATAAAAGGATGCAGCAGCTATGGGAATCAGTATGGGAACTTCCTTACACACAAACAGAATGACCATAAGACCCAGCAATTCCACCTCTGGGTGTCTGTCTAAAAGAACTGAAAGCAGGATCTTGAAGATACATTTATACACTCATGTTCTTGGCAGCATTATTTACAAAAGCCAAAAGATGGCAGCAAAGCCCTGGCTGATTTAGCTCAGTGGATTGAGCACAGGCCTGCAAACCAACCAAAGGATTGCGGTTTGATTCCCAGTCAGGGCACATGCCTGGCTTGCAGGCCGGTTCCTAGCAGGGGACACACAAGAGGCAACTATACGTTGATATTTCTTTCCCTCTCTCCTTCCCTTCTCCTCTAAAGATACATAAATAAAATTTTTAAAAAATGGAGGCAACCCAAATGTCCATCAGCAAAAGAATGGACACACCAATTGTGGTCTATCTTGTACGATGGAATTTTATTCAGCCTTAAAAAGAGGGAATTCTGACGGACGCGACAGTGCATAAACCTTGAGGGCGTGATGTGAGGGGGAATACGGGTGTCACGGACAGACAATACCGCGTATGAGGCATCTCGAGGAGTCCAGCTCCTAGAATCTAAGTAGGATGGTGGTTGCCAGGGGTGGGGATGGGGACCTAGAGGGAGAATGAGGATTGTTCAATGAGTTTCACTTTTGAAAGATGAGAGTTTCAGCTTTGCAAGATGAGGAAGTTCTGGAGATTGGTTGCAATTTGACCATGAAGGCCTCACTGAGAAGTGACTTGAATTAAGTATTAAACTGAAACAAGCAGGGAGCGAACTCTAGTCATTTTGGGGGAAAGATTCCAAGAAGAGGAATTAGGAAGCACTAAGAACTAAGAGTGTAGAGGCAGAAATTCCTGGCATACACAGACAGGTGGAGTCAAAGAGTTCATTGGAAATCAAGGGCAAGTACACGCACGCAGGCCATTGTCAATCATTGTCATGACTTTGTACTTGAGGTGGGCTTGGCAGCAACTGGAGAAGTCTGAAATCACCCATGAAACATGATACATGTTTTGAAAAGATGTTTGTGTTTGCCGTGTGGACAGTAGACAGAATGAGGCAGTAAGGATGGGGCGGGGGGGGGGGTCTGGTTAGGGGACTGCAATAATCCAAGCAGGAGTTGAGGGTGGATGGGCAGGGTGGATGGGGCAGGGTGTTGGAGCTGGAGGAGAGGGATCAGATCCTGTTCTGTGCTGACGGTAGAGCCAACAGCTACGAAAGAGCGCTGTGTCATGGCTTCTTAAGTCTCTGACTCTCTGAATGAATCAGGGCATTGCTTTGTATGTATCAGGAAGAAGGGGTGACAGAGAAGCAGGAGTGAGGCAAGGAGGGGCAGGGAGGGGCCCAAAAGAAGAGGCCTCCATGAAAACAAAGCTAACCTGAAAAGATACCTCGTAGAGAATTTTCAAGAAAGTAACGTGTGCCAGGCAATGGCCACCCTCACCTCAGCCTCCCTTGAAACCTTAAATTGACATCACCTTGCCTCTTGGCCACTAGTGCAAGGGATGAAGAGCTTCCCCGTGACATGCAAAACTAGAAGACTCCTATTCGAGGTTTCCTAGGAGGGAAGACACACTGTTCACACATTTCAGGAAGGAGTGTGGAGTTTCTTCTCATGCTTTTCCAAGATTGCTCTTCCCTATCAAGAGGCTGTTCTCAGTATAGGCTGCTACACATCTGCTTTTCCAGATCTCCCCGTTTATATCCCTCCTCTGGATGTTGTCGGTACTTTGGGGTGGAGAACAAGGAGATGGGAAAGTAAAGCTATCAGCCGTTTATGGTGATTTTTGTTCTAAACTAAGCCTAATCAATAAAACAATCAGGCTTCCCTGAGCCCACATACCTCACCTTAGGACACCTAGTTTCCTTGGCTTCTAGAATGTCCAAGAACAGGGCAGGGGCCTCAGAATGCTAGTCTGTGGCGGAGCGATATGTGTATACACAAAATTTTATATTTCAAGTCTATTGTTTTTACAGTGCAAAGTACAGAAAGTAAATTCCGTTTGGGCGAATCATCTGATCTGGCGGCAGGTAGAAAGCACAGCCGTGAGTTCTGTCCCAAATGGAGTGGTGACCTCAGGGTCCCCTGGTGGAGAAGGGCAGGTGTGGAGACTTCCATGGATATTGAAAGGAAGGAAAAAGCGATCAATGCATTGTGCAGTACTGTCAGCTGCCGTTTTGAGCATCAGTTCTGGGATATCACAGAGGACTTGCAGGTGTGTGTCCTGCTCCTATAGTTTCCTCTCCAGTGGGCATTTCCCTTAATTTCATAAGGCTACTGGGGTGATTTCAGAAGTAATTGGAAAGAGAATGGGTTTGGGGCAAGTTGTTCTAGCCTTTTAAAATATATCTCTTTTCTTTATCATTAAAGATTGTTATAAGATGAGACTGCACAGTACTCGGCACACAGGAGGCATGAAGAACATTAATTCCGTTTGTACAGAGGCTCTGCCCAGGGTCCTGTATGTACCCATCCTTTGTCCTGATGCTTATTTCTGTCTTTTCTTGCTGATCCGCAGTTACATTTTACATACAGAGCATGTAAGACGTATATGGAGACCAGGATAGTAAGAAGTTAGGAAAATTCTTGGGCAAGCGAAATGGGGAAACTGAGACAAGAAAAACTGAGACAAGAAAATTAAACAAGCTGAAACATCTGAGCAATTTACAGCCAGCTGGTGAATCGGAAGACCTCATCTCCTGTGACCGAGAACACGTGAGAGCAAAGGGTTTAAACGTCTTCTCCCCGACCAGAGGATGTGTAGCCGCCCTGGCCCTAAACTACAGGAGTCAAGGAGCCTGTGTGGAAAGAAGCCAAGCAAGTTGTTCCAACAGTCAATCATTTGTGAATGAATCCACACGTCAGACTTGTTCAGCCTGTTCCCTCCCTGTCGGGAACAGGCACGCTTTGCTTCCTGAGATGTCTATCTACTCTGCTGTGGGACCGCCTCGCAGAGGTTTAAGCTCTGCCCAATTGCAGTCCGTGGACTTTGGCTGAGGACTTGAGAGGTAAGGTTGCATGATCCAGAGCTCAGCTCCAGACCTGGTCTGCTGGGGGAGACGGGGGCCCCTCAGAAGGGAGCCTCAAGCTTGCTTTCCAGGACACTGCACCGGAAAATTGAGTCAGGGACCTGCTGGTGGAGAGAAAACGCCACGAGCAGAGTTGCATTTCTCTGTTTTGTGGATTTTGTCTGCCGTCAGGTGGTCTGGAGATTGGGAGGAGCTCTACTCATTGGAACCTTTCTCTGTGAGACAAAGCAATACACAGTCTGGTAAGTTCTAACTGGGAACCAGGGGATGAATAAGAAGAGAAGATACTAAGGTTGGAGAAGGACGTGTTCAGGATAGGTTTGCGAAATGAGGAGAGGAGTTTTGGGTTTGTTTCAATTTGACACCTCCCCACCCCAAAGTAGGCACTTCTTCCTAAAGTTCTCTCTGATAAAGAATAATTCTGGGTAACAGCATGCAACATGCAAGGCTAAGGGATGTATCTGTGATACAGCCTTTGTTTTCACCCACCCTGCTCCCCTCCTCATTGGCAACTGCCACCTCATTCTATGTGTCTTTCTATTTTGTTTTATTTATTCTCTTTTGTGAAATTGTGCATATAAGTGAAAGCGTATGGTATTTGTCTTTCTCTGTCTGACTTATTTCCCTGAGCATAATACCCTCTGGGTCCAGCAAAGTTGTTACAAATGACAAGGTTTTATTTTTTATGGCTGAGTCATATTCTGTTGTCTGCACATACCACATCTTCTTTATCTGCACATCTACCGATGGACCTCTATCTACCTGTCCTCAGTCTTCAGCCATACCAATCTGCCTCTGTATTTTGGGTGGGACGGAGGAGAAGCAGGCCTCTTTGATGTGTCCTTCACAGCTGAGGGAGCTGGGTGCCCACTGGGCTCTCACTTACCCCCATGGGGGACTTCATGGGGCAAGGGGTTAGCCTTGGCCTGCACTGTGCTGCCTCAGAGGAGGGGTGACGGGGATGGGGTGGGGAGGACACTGCTCTGCTCTCCTCTTCAGTGCATCCTTCCAGAATGTGCTCTGAGGGAGTGCTGGGACCTCTCCACTGGGCTCTGGGCTCCCGCAGAGGTGCCCTTGGCCATGGGTGGTTGTCAAAACTGGTGCTTCTGTGGAGGACTGAGAGCTGAAAAGTCCAGTTCTGCTACCTGCCTGACACCGGAAGTGTTTAAAAGTGGAATGGGAGTGCCATCCGGTTGGGATGACCACCTCCACCAGGCTCCTGACACTTGGGTGAAATGAGGCCATTCATAGTGTTATGCTGAATCACGGTCTACTTGGCACAGCAGTGCAGGCTTCTGGCTATTTATTTATTTTAAAAGATATTATTTATTTATTTTTAGACAGAGGGGAAGGCAGGGAGAAAGAGAGGGAGAGAAACATCACTGTTGCCTTTCATGTGCCCACCACTGGGGACCTGGCCCACAGTCCATGCATAAGCCCTAGACTGGGAATGGAACAAAGGATACTTTGGTTCACAGGCCAGCGCTCAGTCCACTAAGCCACAGCAGGCATGACATGGGCTATTTATTTAACCATCTTGTGCCCATCTTTTTGAAGGCTACTCTTGCTCTATTTCAGTCACAGCAAGATTATATAAATCTTGAAAAGCATGGAAATAGGAAATTTCCATGCTTCCTGAAAATAGGAAATTCACATAAACATAAAAATCAGTCCTTGGGGGGTGATTAACAATCATACAATTTCACTGGCTTGATCTGAACTGTAGTGGCCTAACAAAGTGGGTACATTTAACTTTGGAAGGAAATTTACCTCCCCTTTGTCACTTAGAGTCAATTAAGTAAGGGCTCGTTGGTCCCTTACCCGGCAGGGACTCCTGGCTAGGTGAGTCGTCTCTGTTCACCGAAGACTGTCCTGCTGGAGAGTTGTCCAGGGAAGACCTAGGGCCCATTCGGGCTACATGGGGGTCCCTTGCACACGCATGCTACATCATTGTGCAGATATGATAGAGGTCTATGAAATAGTTGAGTCACTGTCAACTCCCTCTGAATGACACACGAAGACTCATTTAATCTCATCTGTGAGACCCACCTGATCTTTCTGCTTCCCTTCTATCTGCTCCTAGCAACATGCCCTCCATGTTTGAGAGCACCGTCAAGAAATTGGTCAGAGAGATTGGAGACAAAGAACTCAGGCCTGTCACAGACGTCCTGAATGCCAACAAAATACATCGGTTTTCTCTAATATGGAGAAAGAAGGCTACTTCAATGTTTTGGCAACTACCTGATGTTCCACTTGATGTCTCCCTCATGGACATGCTCGAACAAAGTGTCACGGTCCCAGGTATTGTCAGCCAGGAGGGAAGGACTGTGAAACAAGGGCGCAGAGAGAAGGGTGCAACATGCAAGACTTGCTGAGATACCCATTCAGAACTGGCCTTGTCTGTGGACAAGGAGCAAGGAACTAAGAGTATCTGAGAACTTTCCAATTATGAACCAGGTTCATTTAATACTGAGAGCAGCCTCTTGAGTCAGGAATCTGATCCCCATTTTACATAGCAGTAAACGAAAGCTTAGAAAATAATCTATCCCAGGTTACAGAGCTGGGAACTGGTAGAACTGGGACTCAAACCCAAGTGTGTTTTGGTCCAAATCCCAAACATATTCTGTTTTGTGAGCTGCCTCTTGGGGCTGATGCTGTTCTGGGAAAGATGATGTCATGGGTATCCTGAACCCAGGTGCAAGGAATGTCGTCATTTGGGTTAGGGTCAGGACATCATCCCAGCCCCTGAGTGAATTCAAACATTTGTCCTCAGGAGTAATTTAAACTCAAAATATTCATTACTGATGAGTTAGCTTCTCAGTTGAGAGACTGAATTGAGTAGGCAAGTTGGGGGAGGCTAGGACTCCGTCATTCCTTTTCCATTCCATTCCCAGCTGTTCCAGAGTGAACTGCTGGTTGAACCTCAGGCCTCCTTGTCTGTTTCCAGATGCTCCTTTGGAAGTGCCAGACGAATTCACTGACAAAGTGGACAGGAAGCAGCACGCGGGTGCGAATGTGAATGCTGGGGCAGAAGCGAGCATCTCGGAGGGGACTACCAAGTACCAAGGATCCTCCCTCAATTATAAGATCGTCAGCACCCCATACAAAACCTGGACAGACCTTCAGAAGAGGTGAGGCCATGGGAGGGGAAGGGTCTGGTCAACAGCCCCAAATGGTGCCCTCCTCCAGAGGCGTCAATAGATTTTGTCCCTGAGGCTCGGAGCGAAGATGCTGACATCCCAGGCTCTGCTGTTCTCTGTGGGTTTGCATACGTTCACTCATCGGACTAACGGGTGTCAGTTATCTGGTAAGGAATTTTTAAAGCTGCAGTTGTCCATCACTATGCTGTTTTGTGGTGAGAAGAGACTAATGACAAGACAGATAAAAATGTTTGTCCTAAAACAAAAAATATTTAGGAAGGCAGGGGGACATGGAGTGAGTGAGAAATAAGCATTAAAATATAAGTTTTCAAAGCTTTAATATAAGTGAGACAAAGCCTCTGACTCTGTTTAAATCAAGTCCATATGCCTCAGTGTCCCAGGGTTTAAGTTAACTTGGTGCCAGAGAAAAAGATTGACCTTCAATAATCTTCTAGGGCTTAATAAGGAACTTAAGACTTTATGCCTTTTATTTTGTGTCCCATTTTTAAAGTTTTATTTTTTAAATATATTTTATTGAGTATAATATTATAGTTATCCCAATTTTTCCTCCTTTGGTCTCTTCCCCCTGGTACCTCCTTTCACTCCAGCAATCCCCACCCCCACCACCTAGTTCATGTCCATGGGTCGTATATATAAATTCTTTGGCTTCTCTATTTTCTAAACTATTCTTAACCTCCCCCTGTCTATTTTCTACCTACCATTTATGCTACTCATTCCCTGTACCTTTACCCCCATTCTCCTTCCTCCCCCTCTCCACTGATAATCTTCCATGTGATCTATCTATGTTTCTGTGATTCAGTTCCTGTTGTAGTTGTTTGCTTGGTTTATTTTTGTGTTTTTTTAGGTTCAGTTGTTGATCGTTATTTGTTGTCATTTTGCTGTTCATATTTTTGATCACCTTCTTTCTTTTATATAAGTCTCTTTAACATTTCATATAGTAAGGGCTTGGTGATCATGAACTCCTTTGACTTGACCTTATCTGGGAAGCACTTTATCTGCCCTTCCATTCTAAATAATAGCTTTGCTGCATAGAGTAATCTAGGTTGTATGTTCTTGCCTTTCATGACTTTGAATACATCTTTCCAGCCCCTTCTTACCTGTATGGTTTCTTTTGGGAAATCAGCTGATAGTCTAATGGGCACTCCTTTATAGGTAACTCTCTCCTTTTCTCTTGCTGCTTTTAAGATTCTCTTCTTATCTTTATTCTTGGGTAATGTAATGATGATGTGCCTCGGTGTGTGCTTCCTTGGGTCCAACTTCTTTGGGACTCTCTGAGCTCCCTGGACTTCCTGGAAGTCTATTTCCTTTGCCACATTACAGAATTTCTTCTTTATTATTTTTTCAAATAAGTTTTCAGTGTCTTGCTTTTCCTCTTCTCCTTCTGGCACCCCTATGATTCTGATGTTGGAATGTTTAAAGTTGTCCCAGAGGTTCCTAAGCCTCTCCTCATTTTTTGAATTCTTTTTCTTCATTATGTTCTGGCTGAATGCTTATTTTTTCCTTATGTTCCAAATCATTGATTTGGATTTGATCCCTGTTTCCTTCCCTTCACTTCCCTGTGTATTTTTCTTTATTTCACTTTGCGTAGCCTTGACTTTTTTCCCTATTTTGTGACCATTCTCAACCATTTCTGTGAGCATCCTGATTCCTGCTGTTTTGAACTCTGCATCTAGTAGATTGCCTATCTCTTCATTGCTTCATTCTGTTTTTGGAGTTTTTATCTGTTCTTTTGGGGGGGCCATATTTTTTTGGTCTCAGCACTACTGTTACTTGTAAGGGGTGGAGTCTTAGGTATTGGCCAGGTTGGAACAAACTGCATTGTAGTGCTGTATGTGGGGGAGGGGTCAGAGGGAGAACAACATTCCTTTCTCAGCTCTCCAGTCTTTCAATTGCTCCCCCATACCCAGAAGCAAATTGGTCCCTTCTGGTGTGAATTCCCAGGTGGGCGGGTTTGTGTACATTCTAGGACCCTGTGGGTCTCTCCAATGAACTTTCCTATGAGGCTGGGAGTTTCTCCTGCTGCATCAACCCCCACAGGTTTTTACAATCAGAAGTTTTGAGGCTTTATTTTCTCACACTGGAACCCTGGGTTGGGCAGTCTGACTTGCTCTGCAGTTGTTCCTCCTGGTCTATCCACACTCAAATGTGGGACCGCCCACCTGCTCAGCCAATCACCGCCTCACCAGGCCAGTCCTTCAGCAGCTACCTTTCCATGCATCCTCTCTGCCCATCTGCCCATCTCCTCCCCTCCTACACCAGTCTAAATGAATGTTTCTTCTTTAACTCCTTGGTTGTCAGACTTCCACACAGTTTGATTTCCTGGCAGTCGTGGTTATTTTTTGTTTTTAAATTTGTTGTTGTCCTTCTTTTGGTTGTGCTAGGAGGCAAAGTATATCTACTTACACCTCCATCTTGGCCAGAAGTTCTGACTTTATGCCTTTTAGAAACTGAGATTTCAATTTAAATTGTCTATCAATGCAAAAATTGCTGAAGTAAGCAAGTATTTAAAAATCACAGGCTATATAGAGAATAAAAGTTACTTTGACAGGGCATGGCACAATTCCTGTATTTCTGGTGTCTTGTAAGACTTTTAAATTAAAAAAATTTTTAAATATATTTTATTGATTTTTGTATTACAGTTGTCCCAATTTTTCCCCCTTAGCCCACCTCCACCTGGTATCCCCATTCCCTCCAAGAACCCTCTCCCTTAATTCATGTCCACAGGTCATGCATGTAAGTTCTTTGACGACTCTATTTCCTGTACTGTTCTTAACATTCCTGTCTATGTTGTATGTACTAATTTGTACTCCTTAATCCCTATATCTTTTCCCCCTTTCTCTCCTTCCCTGCTCCCAACTGATAACCCTCCAAATGATCACCATGCCTATGATTATGTTTTCATTCTTCTTTGCTTAGTTTGTTTTTCAATGGAGGAGGTCATGAGTCTCCAGTGTGGATTTTCCTGTTGCCCTGTGGGGAGAATTCAGACCCCTTTGCGGGGCATCCAAACCCCTTACTATGTCTCATCAGAGGTTATGAATTTCTTTTAGCAGTTAAAGACCCTCCAAATTTAGGGATATATTTTATTATCCAGCACCAAGAAAAAGAAACAAGCCTGATGTCAAAACTTGAAATGTGGAAAGGAAGGCAATTAGACACTTTCAACACACAAATGTGGGGCACATAATGTGTTTCATTTAGAGGTAGTTGCAGATTGTGATGGGTGCTCTAAGGTCAATAGGATTTTGTGAGAAAGGGGTTGGGTGGAAGGGAGTCTATTTAGGTCTCTCTGTAGAGCTAACATTGAACTCAGACCTGAAGAGTGAAAGAAGCAAAGAGTGGGAGAAAAGTGGTCCAGATGAGTGTTTGAAGCCCCGGGACAGTACAGGACAGAGCTTGACATTTTCAGGAGCAGCAGGAAGTCAGTGAGGTGGGGGCTTAGCCAACCAGGATGAAGGTGACAAAAATAGGCTTGGAGGTAAGTAAATGTCCAATGATATAACCTCTTAGAGACACAGTAAGGGGTTTGGATACCCCCCAAAGGGGCCTGAATTCCCCCCACAGGGCAATGGGAAATCCACACTGGGGGCTATGACCTCCATTGAAAGGCAATTTAAGGGTCTCTCGTATTGCACTCAGCTGTCATCCAGGGCACCTACCCTGGTGGGACCTTAAGAAGAATCAGAGTTGAGTCTCACAGCTGCAATGGAGATGAAATCTGTCTTCAGTACTTCAAACTTGTCATGTCCCCTGCCCAAACCTATATCTTCGAGTCAGCCCTACTATCCACTTACCAAGGACAGTTAATCTATAAACGACCCCATGTGCTGGTCATGAATAATCATTCAGAATCTTCCCTTCTTCATCATATTTATCAGTTTGCTCCCCATCCCACGCTGATCATGCTTCTGGATGATGGTGACTGTGGGTTCCCAGCTTTGACAAGTAGGGCTCTTGTCAACCATGTGCACCTGCCTACTTCCAGCCTTCTCAGGTGAGAGGCCTTGGTGCACTGGACATGTGTAATCTACCCTCTAACAAGCCCCATATGATTTTGGGAAAGCAGATGCCTTTCACAAAATAATATGGATGTTCTCCTTCCTACACTCCTATCAGGAAGTGGGGGCCCCTCCAGCTTGCATAGCAAAGAATATGTTTTGTGTTCCTTAGTAACGTAACCTGTTTGCCAATACCTTTCTACCCACGGAGGGAACACCTGTCAAAGTCCAAGGTCTCTGCACCCCTTCCAGGTCCTGAGGAGGGACGGTAGCCCAGGGAGGCATCTCTTTACAGCTGACCCTCTTCTCCTCCCTCTACCTCACCTCCCACCCTAGGAAAGTGATGGACCCAGAACCGCCATTTCTGAAGCAATGCCGGAGAACAGCAAAGAAACTGTATGTGGTGACTGACGTCGTAGAACTGCGTGACAGTTGTGTGATGGAGGACCGCAGCACTGGGGATGTCTTGGGGAAAATGTCCTTCATTCATACTTTTCTCAAGGTATGAGATGGGTTCACCCATCAGCAAAATCGGATGTAGGTTTCATTATGTGGCATTACACTTGCTTTGGGTAAGTAGTGGATTATGGCACATCTAACCATAATGGTGGGTGGCTGCAGCACTGTCCATGTGGCAACTTTTGTGCTAATAGCAAACCTCCCTAAAAGCCATGACGTCCTGAGAAGGACTGGTGGAAGGGGCAAGACTTAAATACTTTCATAGAAGTTATATAACTGACGCACTCTCAATAATCAATGGCAGTACTTTTAATTATACAAACAAGTCCATTCATCATATAGTTTGTGTGTGTTATAATGTGCTTTTACACATTATATATAGTTTGTGTAGTTGTTCTTCACTTGGAAGACTTAGAAACTCCAGGACAAAAACTGACTTCTGACATCTGTTCAGAGCCAGCTCAGCTCTAAAGGTTGGCCATGGGCTGTGATGACCTTGAACGGTTTGCATATCACTCCTGGTTTGTGGCTGCGGCAACTTTGTGTTGGTCGATCAGACAGAAGAGCCACAAGGAAACCGAGCAGCTGCAGAGCAGCACCCAGACTAAGTGAAGCATATCTGTCACGGACACATGAGAACACGCAGCGGAGTATCATAAATTCATTTTTATTCTTATTTATCTTGCTTGGAATTCCCTGAACTTCCTGGATCTGTGGTTTGGTGTCTGACATTCATTTGGGGAAATCCTCAGTTATTACTGCTTCAAATATCTTTTTCTGTTCCTTTCTCTCTTTCTTCTTATATTCTCATTACACATATGTTACAACTTTTGTAGTCATTCTACAGTTCTTGGATATTATGTTCCATTTTTTTCCAGTCATTTTTCTCTTTGCTTTTTTGTTTTGAGGCTTCTACTGATGCATCTTCAAGTGCAGGAGTTTTTCTCTCACTTGTGTCCAGTTTACTAATGAGCCAATCAAAGACATTCTTTATTACTGTTATGATATTTTTTATCTCTCTTGCATTTATTTTTTATTTCCTTAGGATTCCATCTCTCTGCTTACATTATTCATCTGTGCTCGCATTTTGTCTATGTTTTTCATTGAATCTTTTAGCAAATTAATTACAGTGGTTTAAAATTCCCTGTCTAATAATTCCAAGACCCGTGCTACAACTGAGTGATTCTGAGCCTGCCTCTGTCTCTTCAAACAGCTGTTTGTTGCCTTTGAATATGCCCTTGTGATTTTCTTGTTGAACTTTGAACACAATATATGTGATAGAAGGAACTCTGGTAAAACAGCCTTTACTGATATTGTGATATGTGAGGAGGGAAATATTCTATACTCCTATGAATGGGTCCTAGATTTATTTTTAGTGAGCCTGTGCTGGGCTGCGAACTCACAAGAGCTTTTCAGTACTCTCTCCTGCTTAGAGGTGATAGGACGGTTAGAGTGAGGAAGAGCTGGATGTTTCCCTTTCCCTGCATGGAAGCCTAGAAGAGGCTGGAGTCCGTGTTTCCCTTTAATCAACTGCTTCAGCTGTTATAAAGAGTAGGAAAACAAACCCTCATCAGAGAAGTAGGAATAAGAAATAAATCAATTCATTTCGGTATCAACATGAAATTGAGGGGCCTGAAGGTAAATATGGGGAAAAACAAGGAAAAAGAGCAGGCCCTGGAAATCAGGAGTAGAGAAGGTGAGGGCAGGGGCTGCTGACTCCTTTTCTCATGGGCTTTCTAGATGTATTTGACTCTTAAGACCACAGGCATGTGTGATGATGTTATTATACCCGGTTTCCGCCCGCAGGTTAAAGCAGAGGGTGGGGCTCTCAAAGTGAGAGAGAAGAAGCTTACTGTGGCAAAGGGCTCGGTAATGGCCTATAAGAGGAAGCAGCTGGTCCTCAAGAAGAACAGCTGGGGTAAGCAAGACTGGGGGAGGCAGGAGGGGAGCAGCAGTCTGCTTGTCCTGGGGAGAGAAATGAGGAGGGACAGACCATCGTCAGGCCACCGTGGCTTCCCCACCTGTGCAGAGAGAGCAGCAGCATCCTCAGCTGTCCAGGGCACACACGTTCTCACCACGCACAGCACCTGCAAGCAGGGACCCACTGAGATGTTGCTCTGGGCAGGCAGAGAGACAGTCTCCTACGTGGAGAGGGTATAATGGGGTGCCCGGCGCCAGGGTGTTTTTAGCACCGGGCAGAGGATGACTCTAATCCCAGCCACCTCCACTGCAGGTCCCACCACTCTCAGCAGCTCACCTGGGGAGCCACAGAGCCCTCCCAGATTATCTGTGCCCCCACGGGGAAGTCCATAGATAGTGGCCCAATGGGGAACAAATCTGTGGACATAGTGCCCTGACCACGTAACGCAGAATTGTATCGACATTGCTCCCTCCTCAGGAGCCTCAAAATGCACAGTCCCCCAACACACACCTGGGGTTCTGACTCCACACAGGAGAAAAACTTTGATGAAGAAGTAACTACAAACCAGAGAGGAGTGTGGGTGCTACAAACACAACCAGCTCAGGGTCCTTGGCCCCTCCCAGCCCTAATGCTGAGTCCCAAGTAGAGGTCAATCTGATAGAGCTGGGGTCCAGCTCCTCAGAGGTTGGGGGGTGCCCTCACCACACATAACAAACAGGCTCTATCTCTCTTTCTTATACACACGCACACACACACACACACACACACACACACACACACACACACACTCTCTCTTCCCTATAGAAAACTCAATATAACTTCTGGCTAAGGGAGGGTCTTTTTGTCACTGACTCCTGTCAGTGCCCATAGACAGAATGAAGGAAAACTGTCTAATCTTTGGGGTCAGTGGCTCAACTCAGTCTTCAAATCCATGTTGTGTGAGTGTTGACAAGTGTGAAGAAATGGAGTTGGACTCAAAAGCTGACCTCACAGCAGTGCCTGCAAACCATGTCCTACCCACTAGGGGGCGCTTGGCGCTTGCTTTTTTCTACAATTCCCGCCTGAGAGGGAACCAATGGCTCCGTGCTGTAACCATTGCACTTGCGTGAAGTAATTTCATCCTCATAACAAATCAGAGAGGAAAATATGTGCAGCACTGTTCAATAATGTGCCACTGTTCAATGATTTGCAAGCTACATAGCACTTCCTGTGCAGCTTTGGAGAAAACCACAATTCCTCTGTCACCCATTTTACCTATTAATGAAGATGAGACCTCCTCCCCAGAGCTAGTGGAGATAAATGTCTGAGAAAGTGGCTGACCCAAATTTATCTTTCCTCTCTCCAATCACCTGGACCTTTCCCATGACCTGACAGCAAGACAGGTCCCTGCCATCTCAGAAACGTCCTCACCCAGTGTCCCCTCATAGCCGACTTCCCTGAAGAATCTTCTACACTCTGCCCCCGCCCTCCCTGGCATCCACACCTCCACCCACTGCAGTCTGCCCTCCAACGAATTCACTCCTGGTCCTTACCAGTGACCACACACTCGATCACCCCTTCCTTGGAGCTCCTTTCCCCCTGGATGCTGCCACACCATGATCTGTGGGGTCTCCTTTAATGGGACTGTTCTCCTTCTTCCTTCATGGGTGCCTGTTCCCTGTCAAACACAGAAATCTGATTGTTAGGCAGGTTTCAGAACTTTGAATGTTTGTCTACATGAAATGTGAAATGGCCCTGGAAGTGGGTAGTACTGGGGGGGCTGACTTGTAAGGGGTCCCTCCATGACAGTGAGCCAAAGGGCAGCAGGAAGGAAGGCAGGTTCCTTTTGGTGAAATGGGGCATTGGAGCTGATACCCACCACCCAGGTGTTTATTGACAAGGTGGGCTCTAGCTTCCTCTTTAGAGAGACAGATTCTGAAGATAAGGAAAGGGTGGAGATCCTGAGTTTCCACACACATTCCAGGTGACTCTGATGCGCCAGGGTCAGATCTGGGGTGCCAGGTCACCCTGAGAAAAGCTGTCACAAGTGGCCTGGAGTTGGAAGTGTGGGGGCCACAGGTGTGGGGATGTGAGAGACTCCAGCAGGGGTAACCTCAGCTCTGCTGACGGGGCTTCTTCCCTCCCAGACATTCTTCACGTCGCAGACGATGAAGAGGAAACCTTTCCAAAGGGTGAGTTGAGCAGGTTCTCTGCTTAGACCTCAGGCCTTGCCGAGCCCTTGACCCACTCTGGAGCCTATGAAAACACTACTGGGGGCTCAGCCCGACACCCCCCAGGCAAACCTTCCCCAGCCAGGCTCCTCCACCATGTCCTCGTCTCCACTGCTGTGACTTAGACACAGGCCCCTGGTCACAGGGACAGCCACCTCTCTGCTTTGGGACTGGGGTGGGAGTGTGGATGTGTGTGAGTTGTGGGAGAGGAGACTCAGCTGTTGTGAGTGATCACCTCTTTCTCTCTTTCCAGAAATCCACTATCAATGCCTTCCAAGTGGAATGGGAGGGCCTTTAATACGAGGAAAGTATAATGTGGTCCCTCCACGAGGCCCCATTTTGCCCAACTGAAACGCCACCCCACTGCCTTTGCCATCTTCACCGGAGCCACCTGGCCCGGGCTGTCCCAGGGAAAGGGCGGGGAGGGTGGAACAGGGTGCTGGGGAGTAGGGGGTAGAAAGTAGAGAAAGGGAGCGTCAGCAGAGACTAACTCTTGGGTGGGGAATTTAATTTCTCTTCTAGTCGGCAGAGAATTTTTCATCGAACCAATACGTGAGTGTGTGTGTGTTTGCTGGGGTTGTGGAAGGGTCCTATTTGTACTCCTCTGGGCAGCAGGGCCGTGTGTCCTGCCTTTTCCACCATGGCCCTGGAGCCTGGATGTGTCTTCTGTGGGATGGGAAGGGTCAGGGAGGGAGAGGAGGGCTGAGGGATGGAGCAGGGAGGGAGGGGGCAGTGGAGGGAAGGACCCTTGGAAGTGTCAGTACAGCACATGTGGGGGGTGAGGAAGGGAGGTGAGCACTTGCCTTTCTCTTTCTAGGAAGAATCCAGGAGCCTTTCTTGCTGGGTGAGTGTTTACTAAGAGGGAATGGAGGGCCTGTTGGGTGGGAAACTGCGAAGCTCAGCACCGGAATTGGAGGTTCCCGGGCAACTCAGAAAACCGAGCTTTACCTCTGAATTTACACTTTGGGCAGCCCCACTAATTAACTCCTTCCTCCCTTCCTCCCTCCCTCCCTCCCTCCCTCCCTCCCTCCCTCCCTCCTGGGTGCGTGCATGCAGGAAACTTTTATGGAGGACCTGTTGGGTGTAATTCTGAGCACTGGGGCTTGGGCAGTGAACCAGACAGGAATCCTGCCTCCCTGACACTTTCATTCTAGTGACTTCTCACTCCCAGAAGCCCACCCAGAGGCCACCTCAGGTGTCCTAGCTGAGGCAGAGAGCCCCCCACATCCACTCCTTGGTCAACTCTCTATAGACCTGGAGGTACAGGCATAATTGCATGTAGCACCAAGCACTTTGTATTCATAAACTCACACTGCTGGGTATTTCAGAGCCTGGTCAGTTTCTTCCTCTTCCCGTGACCCATTTCCAGAATCCTCTTCTCCTCTTTCTGCATTTACCCCCACTCATTTCAGCTGAGATTTCCCATCTCTCTGGCCTGTATGGAAGCTCTGTCATGGAGCTCAAACATGACACCTTCAGAGATGCTATGGGCCAGCCGCTTAAAGGGAAGAAGAATCTTGCTTATGTTGATGGGAAGTGACCTTTCTCATCTAAGAGTTGTCTTTGTTTTCTTGTCCGAGGACAGATTTCAAGGACCTACATGAGGAGGTTTCCCGGAAAGTAAGAGCAGTGGACCAGCTCTCAAAGGACTTCAAGGATGTCGTGTTCTCCGGCATCCTGGCCATGCTGGGGGACCGAGAGGCCCTTCAGGACCTCATGGACATGGTGAGGGGGTCCCACTGCCACTGAAGGTTGATCAGACTTGTAAATGGGGGATGTTTCAGAGATCCAACTGCCGAGATCTATGGGGAAAACAAGAATGGGGGTGATCTCAGGGGGCTGAGGGGAATGTCTGAGATTGGGGACCATGTGAGCAGGGCCAGGGAGTGCAGCGCACCCAGAGCGACAGTGCTCAGTGTGCCCGGGGGCTGTATGGAGCCATTACCCTGCTCCTGGGTTAATCACTTAAAAACACAGCATTTGCAGGCGAAGTTACATGATATTATCATCCTCATTAATAATTCCTGTTTCCTATAGCTTGAACAGGAACCCTTGAATGGTCATTTGAATGGCCCCGGTGGCACCGTCCTAAATGAACTGCAAAAGGGGTCCAGCTATGCATGGAATGGCTCAAAGTACCTCATCCTTTACCTGCTCGAAGCCATTATGGGTAAGAGGGATTTGGAAGGACATTGTGAGGGGTCACAAAGTTGGTCTCCCAGAGACCCCAGAAGGGCTGCATCAGATGCCACCTGTTCACAACCCTTGAAATGTTATGATTTTTCACCCTCACCTCACGCTTCTCTCCAAGGTCAGCAGGGCTCAGTGGGATAAACTTGCCACCTGACACAGAGACCTGGAAAGACCAGCCCGGGTTCATCCCAAGTATCACTGAGGGTGGAGGATTCCAGGCTCCAGCCACAGCACCCCTCCTCTGGGCCATGTTAGGGAGCGTTCTGGAGGCCATCCCAAGAGCCAAAGGAGGCCTTTTCTGGGCAGGGAACTTGACCTCCAAGTCTAAGGAGTCTCATTCCTCTGCCTTAGAGTTCACCTCACTCTCTGGGGAAAGGAATATCTGACTGTCTTTCCCCAAATGTCCCCTGTCCCCAGCACTGAGTGACATCCAGCACCGTCTGCTGGCCCCATCCATGGAGAAGAAGATCCTGTCCCAGCAGCGGGACCTGGTGAGAAATCCCCAGGGGCCAGCGTCCCGGGAAGAGGGTGAGGGAACCGGAGAAAGGAATGGTTCTCAGGGGAGAGAGAAGAATCAGGTTTCTGCCTGGAAGAAAGATGAAGTCCCAGTGTGGCCACCAGGAAAGCTGGGCTGCGTCTCCCTCTGGGAGCAGGCCTGGTGGTCATGGGTCTGCCTGGGGAAGGTGTTCGTTTCCATGACAACCCCTGCAGAGGCCCCCCCACCAGTTCTCAAATAGCCATATAGGATACAGGGCTGGGGAGCTCAGGGTATCTGGGTTACACCCCTGCTTTACCCATATGGTTACCATTTGCGAATTGTGTGTTCTTTGCCTCCATGTATGTATATGCAGGTATATATGCATGTATGACACATGCATATCCACAGACACATGGCACACACAAGCATTCACGTACACCATTCCAAACACCGCCATTCTGCGGGGTAAATGTTTGCATCACTACCTAGCAGCCTAGGAACTGATTCGAGGAGTTCCAATAACATGTCCTTGGTCACACCCATCACAAGACAGGGCCAGGCCGTGACTCCAGAGCTCCTGCCCTTGTAGTTGTCCTGCATGTCCCCTGGCTCTTGGGACTGAGGGTTCTCACCTCCTAACCTCAAGGCTGACCTGTAACAGCTGACACTGTTTCTTTAAGGTGAGGAGCATCCTGGAGCCCAACTTCAAATACCCCTGGAGCATTCCCTTCACCCTGAAACCCGAGCTCCTCGAGCCCCTGCAGGGGGAGGGTTTGGCCATCACCTATGCCCTGCTGGATGAGTGTGGCCTGAAGATGGAGCTGCATAGCCCCCGGTCAACCTGGGACCTGGGAGCCAAGAAGCCCCTGTCTGCGCTGTATGGGACCCTCTGTGTGCTGCAGCAGCTGGCCGAGGCCTGAGACCCCAGAGGGCCGGCCAGGGGCCAGTGCACTGAGTCAGCCCACGGAGGCTGCCAGGGGTCCTGGTGCTTTGTTCTGCTGCAAACGCCTCCAGGCTGTTCTCTGCGAGTATGAGTTTGTGGGGATTTTCAGATTCCACACATAAATGATGTCCAGCTTGGTCTTTGTCTGTTCGACTTTCACTTAGCATTGGCCTTCAAGGTTTTCCCATGTTGTCCCAGGTGGCAGGTGACTCTGGCTGCTGGGTGAAGGATGGGTAGGAAGGGGGACATGAATAACGTAGGGAGGACGTTGAAGTGTTTCTCTAATTGTTCAGGCGCTCAGGGGTCTTTTTTAAAAGGTAGGGGCTTGGATAGTGGACATATTATTTAATTCTAGTTTAAATAAATTCCAGGAACACCTTGGGGAGATTTTACACACACACACACACACACACACACACACACACACACACACACACACACACACACACACACACACACACACACACACTCATTGGTAGGTATCAATACAGAGGATCACATCTTTGTGGTTCATGTATAAATGACCATGATTGATGGTATTTTTCTCATAAATTTCCAGCTACTGCCAGAAGGTGGCAGCATTGTCACACAGCAAGAAGCTTGGTGGTGCTTCACTTGCTTTGGGACTTTGGAATTCAAGTCAGTCTCCTCTCTCCCATCTCTGTTCTCTGGCTTCTTCTTCCTCACGCCTCCCCCTCCTCGCCCATTAGCTTTCTTCCTGATGCATTAACCTGGAATATGGGGCCATGGTGGAGGGGGTTGATACTGTCTTCTTTTAATATCCTCTAGAACCTTCCTTTTCAACACTATGTTGACTGCATTAAAAATGACCCCCTTATAGAGAGCTCTGGGAAGTAAGACTTGAAGGGTGGGGAACTTAGAGCCATTTCCACAGTTTCAGAGAAGCTGTCACTTGGTGAAATGTCAACCTCTTCTGCCGGGATTATTATGGATTCTGTGATAAACCTGATTGTCTCATGCTGAGGAGAGGCCAGAGTGGAGGAAGCGTTTGAATGTCTTCCAGTAAGCAGCGTATATTGTTTCTAAGTAAATCAGTCAAGCAAGTGAACTGTTCCAAAATATCGGGACCTTGGTCAATGCAGGGGAAAGCAGGGCAGAGTGAATGTTGGGATCCTCTGTCTTGGAGGAAATGGAGCTGGTGTTGGAGGAGACAGAGGTGGCTGCAGGGGGCTGGGTGTGTGGTTTGACAGATCAGTCTGCATAGCTGATACCCAGTAAGCCCTGTGTGAATGAACCGGACTAAGGCAACAGTGACGCTCAGCTTTAGAAGCTGCCGTGCACCTGCTATGGTACCCACAGGAAGCTTCAAACGCAGGGTGAGGGGGGTAGACCCTGAAATCAGTATTTTCAATATTTAGATATGCTTAGGCAATTGGGCATGTTTAAAAATGGTCCTTCCTTCTCGTCACTGGGACTCTGAGGCTAGATACTGCTTTCCTTGCATACTTCACAGCCTGTAGTGGAGAAAACACTCTCAGGTTTTGGGTTTTTCATTTTTTGTTTTTAGCCAGGGTGTTTGCATTTGCATACAGTTAGCCCTCAGTTAGCTGAGGCTGGCTTACATCCTCCCCACCCTGGTTGTCACAGAGAGAACAAGACAGGGATTTGCTGCCATTATTCACCTTCTCTCGTTCCTGTGGAGTGTGCAGCTTCCCCAAGACTGACAGTCTCATAGGATGGGGAGGAAGAGAGTGGGGACCCCGCGTTTGGGGAATGTGGGTGCTTTCTTCGGACTGGCAGAGGGCAGGAGCCAGGGCTCCCCACCTGCCCCCAGGTGCTGGGAGCAGAGGCTGGAGGCTGTCTCCCAGCTCAGTCTGAGCGAAGTCCTCGTCTGCTGTGGCTTCCCGACAGGACAACCCGACGGGAGTGGGATCTGAGATTCTCGCCCCCCTCTGCGAGGCCTTCTGAGGCCGGGCCCTTTGTGGATCGTGGGCACCCTGGGTGCGTCAAGGCCTGTGTTCCTCCATTTCAGTAAGAGAAACCAAGTGTGCAAATTCTAACGGCAGCTTTTCGGAGATAATTTCTAGTAGCTCCTTTTTAAATAATTAAAAATAGTTGCTGTCCAGTGGTTCTTTGCTAAAAATTCTCTTTTCTATTGCTGAGTGATGCTTCTGTTTCTAGGTGTGCATAAAAGGTTGGGGAGAAGGCTGTCATGAAATGAAGCCATTTTTTCACACAGGACGCCAGGGGTTGGGGATGCACGTGAATACGGGTTGTAATGCGCTGTCATCTCAAAAAAGGTGAGAGATGGCTGTTATCTCTTACATGAAAAATCACCCCAAAACATGGCTTAGGATAGCAAGCATTTAATTTGTGTTTCTGTTGCTAGGGGTCTGGAATTTGGGAGTGGCCTCCCCGGGGTGGTGCAGGCTGGGGGCTCCCCCGCCCCTTGAAGGCAGCCTGACTGTGGCAGAGGCTCCAGTGGACCCGAGGCTGCCCTGCAGCTGGAGAACCTGTTCTGAGCTTGGTTCTTTCCCACGGCTGTTGGCAGGAGGCCTGGGCTCCTTCTCCACAGATGGCCTGACTGTCCTTGTGACGGGGCAGGTGGCTTCCCCAGGTGACTGAGAAGAGAGAGAGAGACCTAGACAGAGGGGGAGGGAGGGGAAAGTTTGGGGTCTTTTATGACCTAGTCTCTTATGTCTTCTATGACACAGTGGGTGTTGCCCGTTTGTGTTAGAAGTCAGTCACCAAGACCAGTTTCCACTCAGGCTTTAGCTCTTGAAAGGAGGGCCTGAGGACTTATATTAGAACCACTCTATAAACATATGTCTTTGTTTTGTTTTTACATTTTATTAACCTGAGGTTGGCAGGAACCTACCCCTGTATTTCCGTTTACTTTTTTTAATTGATGAGAGAGAGAGAAACATTCATCAGTTGCTTCCCATATGCACCCCAATGGGGATTGAACCTACAATCTAGGTATGTGCCGTGACTGGGAATTGAACCTGCAACCTTTTGATGTGTGGGATGACCCTCCACCCAACTGAGCCACACCTGCCAGGGCTGCATCTTTGCTTTTATACATCTTCCCAGTTCCCTCAGGATGCAGAGCAGATCCTTTTGCCTACATATCCATTCATTCATTCATTCATTCATTCATTCATTCTCTGTCAAACAACGATATGTATTGATCAGCCACTACTTGTCAGGAATCCCAGCATTGAAACCTTCCTCCTTGTTCCTTCACTGGGGCTCTGGGGAGAGCAAAAAAATACTTTCGGCTTCCTTAAAAATTTAAAAGGCTATTTTCTAGAGCAACCAAGAATTAGATTACCTCTTGAAGGTAAAGGTGCACTCTACCCAATCAAAAGAAGGGAGCAATTGTACTTGCTTAGAACAGTATGCTGGGTCCCTCTTTATTTTGGAAATTCTCCTGCTTTTGTAATGGTTGCCTAGCAACCAAAGCTTTGCTCAGTGCGCACTGGGAGTGTTGGAGCAGAGCAGCTCCGTAACATTAACATCCACGGGGTTTCCCAAGCAGCAGAGAAATTGCTGGATGCCAGCCCTGGAGGGCACCTGGTGCTGCAGAGGGAGGGTGGGCATCCAGGTGGGAAGACCCTGGGAGGAGCCGACTTGGCCAGGGGCGGTTGGGAGGTGGGGGTGGGTGGAAGGAGGGCTCTCAGTTCTCCTAATAGACCACCCACACTGACACGATTCACATCCAGGAAGGAATAGCATTTGTTTTCGCCACGCCCTTGACCTGCACTTCAGCAGCCCAGGATCGAAGCGGAATGACATTGATAATAGAACATGGCTCGTTTTCAAGGCAGTCCCTCACGTATGTGAACATTCTGCAGTTTTAGGGTTAGGAGCTATACATTTTGGGGGTGTTGGCACATAGATAATTCAAATCCAGCTCCTCCCCAGAATTCGGCCTAGCCTCAAACAAGAACGTCTGATCAGAATCCTTTATGATAGGTTCTGAAATAAAATAAACCCAGGAAACACCTACTGGGCACGTGCTGTGCACAAGGCTCCGGGTTAGGTGCTATCACAGTGCAAAACTAATGTTCGACTCCTCTCCTTCGTTCAGTCAATCAGTGTTTGTTAAGGGTACGATACTCTGCTAGACACTGGGATACAGACAGACATAAATAAAATTGATGTATTCCCAGTTTTCACAGTGTTACCTTCAGTGGGGCTCATGATAACGAGGAAGAGAGAAAAACTCACGTGCTCTCTTGGGGAAGGAGAACGGAAAACAGACTCTCATAGGTAGGCAAGGATTCTGACAGCCACACAGGAAACCCAGAGCTACTCAAACCTGCATCTCCGAATGCTGGATGTGAAAGCCATCTATCTATCATGCATGCCTTCTTCCCGAAGGGACTGGTTTAAAGCCTCCCCAGCCCGAGGGGTCCCAGTGGGCTACAGGAAAGAAAATAAAAGCATAACTCCCTCCCTCCGCCCTTGTCGCCGTAGTGATCATGGCCTGAAAGCTTTACCTCTTTCCAAGTCCCTCCCTCTCACTCAAGGAGGGCTCTGCAATTTCTCACTGCGCTTGCAAATCGCATTCCCTGCATGCTGCAGGCCCCAGTGGGGAGTCGCTGAAGGCTTGTGAATAGTGGAAAGGAAGGACCAGAGGTGTCTCCAACATGAATTCACTTACAGGGAATAGAGTTCATTGGAGTAGAGCGAAAAGGGGAATTAAGGGATTTAATTAAGAGTCATGCCGGACACGTTATCTATCTATCTATCTATCTATCTATCTATCTATCTATCTATCCATCTATCTATCATCTATCTAGTCATCATCTGTCTTACTGATTAGCAGTCCTTCCTTATTTGGGGGTGGCAGCCCCTCAGTTTTGCTTTGGGGAAGTATCCCTCTCACTCTCAGTCATTCTGATTTGGGCGGGGCTGATCTACCCCTGACCCTGGGCTGGCGTCAGTGAACCAGGTCTGGCTAACACAAGTGCACTCAGCACATGGTTCTCAAACCACAATAATCATTTATAGAATGCTTGTTGGAACCATGGGCAAGGTACCCTCTTAGCAGTGGGGCTGCAACTGGTGGGATGTAAGCCCCCAACCTGGTTTGCTGTCCCATGGAGACAGCATGACCTAGACTGAGGTCATTTCCGAGAATCAGAACAGAGATATGGGGGAGTGATGT